GAAATACTGGAAGCTTCCTATGAGACTGTGTTCTAGTCAGGATTGCAACATGGGTGGATTACGACCTAGGGTGGATTAAGACTAAATTGTACCGTATTTTCCGGCGTATAGGGCGACTGGGTGTATAAGACGACCCCCTATCTTTTTAATTAAAAGATAGGGTTTCATCTTATACCCCAGCGCCCCTCCGCCTCCTTTGCTCCCGGTGTCCCTGGTCTGCTGGAACTGTGTTCTAGTCAGGATTGCAACATGGGTGGATTACGACCTAGGGTGGATTAAGACTAAATTGTACCGTATTTTCCGGCGTATAGGGCGACTGGGTGTATAAGACGACCCCCTATCTTTTTAATTAAAAGATAGGGTTTCATCTTATACCCCAGCGCCCCTCCGCCTCCTTTGCTCCCGGTGTCCCTGGTCTGCTGGAGATGGTCCCCAGCAGACCAGAGGCACCCGATTTTTGGGGGATGTTTTTTAACATCAGAGGTCGTCTTGTACGCCGGAATATACGGTACTTTAACACCTAGTAATTTGGGTTCCAGACCAACACCCCCCCGCCGCCGGCTTCCCCCAAGGCTTTCAAAGCCGCGGAGGGGCTCCGGCGGCGGGGCATCCGGCGTACAAGACGACCCCCGATTTTTGGGGGATGTTTTTTAATATCAGAGGTCGTCTTGTACGCCGGAATATACGGTAATACCCAGAACTATCACAAGGCTACTCTCAAACACTGGGACCGCCTCAGAACAATCTCTCCTTTCCTAGAGCAGGGAAGGATAATAAAATAGCAGTGATTCACCAGGGTTAGACCTGGTGGGCTTTTGCTTTTATATTTACCTGTGCCTCCGCAGGTACAGGCGATTGCAGCTCCCATTGGCTGTGGATTGCTATTCATAGCAAATGGGAGCTGTGGGAAGTGGTGTCCTGGTCCACGCTGTTTCCCACAGCTCCCATTGACTGGGAATGGCGATTTGCAGGCAACGGGAGCTGCAATTGGCCATACCTGCAGAGGCGCAGGTAAATATAGCGGCAACAGGCTGTCAAGGGCTAACCCCGGGGAACTGGATCCAGCCTGTGGGCTGGCATTTGCCCACCCCTGCCCTAGAGGGATTTTTGTTTTCTACTCCTGAATTATTGGCCTTTCTCAAGGGAGACAGCTGACCAGGAGCAAATAGCTGTGCAAGTATTATCATCTACTGCTTCATACTCATTGTTTTGTCAAAGCTCCCTGTAATATTGGACCCTGGATTCCAAGGGTCTGGCTTTAATCTCATTCCGTGCAGACCCAAGAGTTTGGGGAGCGCATCCAAGCTTTGGGGAGTTTAGATAAACTGAATGTTTTATAGTTCACCCCTCTTACATAGAATATATTTGGAAATGGGGACAGGGAACATGTCTGTCAAGTAGTAGAGACGTATTGTAAAAGCATCCATCACTGCCATTGTTATAGCAAGGCGAAAGGAAAGGTCCATGTGTTTCCTAGGTGCTGTCTCTCTGGCCTCCAGGTTTTGCTGACATGGTGTCAACTCTCTAGGGAAAGGTTATGGGAATGGAGCAAGCTCTCAAACACAGCTCCATGAACACAGACTCTCCGGGATCCTATCCTACAGCTCTGGGCTCTTCTCTAATAGGAGGATCAGGAGGTGGGCAAACACCACTTTGTCAAAACTTAAACAACAAATAGACTAGTAGCACCTTAAAGACTAACAAAACATGTAGATGGTATCATGAGCTTTTTGTGGGCACAACCCACTTCTTCAGATGAGCAGAGTCTTAGAAGTCCAGATCTAAGAATAAATAAGGGAAGGGGAGGGGACGGGAGGGGGGAAAGGGGAGGAAAAAACAGAGAAACGGTGAGTAGATGGTTCAAATACTGTAGTTGATAGATACCATCTATATGTTTTGTTAGTCTTTAAGATGCTACTAGACTATTTGTTTTTTAAGTTTTTCCTGTTACAGACTAACTCAGCTACCCCACTACTTTGTCACAAGAGAGAAATGGGGAGGAGCTGGCAAGGACTAGTTAAAGCTTGAGAGGGATTAAAGCCAGACAGGCTCTGATGGAAGGAATCATTGACAGTGTTGAATGTTGCCCTAGAAGATAGTAACGCCCTGATGAGAGAATGTTGAGGAATGGAAATGAGCTGAACTTTTATCTGACAAGCTTGATTCAAGAAGTGATGGGAATTACAGACCTGAATGTAAATAAATAAATACATCCTTGGAAATAAAAAATCCACTTTTTTAGGAGAGACTAGATCGAAACTATTCTCTCTGAAAAGCTAAGCCCAGCACCTTTGTACTCATGAAATTGTTTGGGAGCCTCCTGAGTACATTTCCCAGCTCTGATTTGTTCCTGGGACTGGGTCCTATCTACTGTTGGTGTGTGCTCTAGTAGATCTTACTGCTGCTCTATCACAAGGGAAATGATAAACGGAGCCCTCTGGTAATAATTACATGAATCTGACCACCTGTTTCACTATCCAGCTGACTGAAAAGCAAAATGGAGAAAATGTATCATCAGTAGTGAAAAATAAATTAGCCAGTGCTGACCCCTGCTGCTAGGGCATGCTTTTGGGATACTTTTGGGACGGTTGTGCTCTTTATCTGCTAACATTTGAGAGCTATAGATAAGGACACAGGAAGAGGAAAAATAAGGACATTCTTTGAAATGCCACTGAAATTATGGAAGAATCTTGTAGAATTTAGAAGAGATTAAATCAACAGAACCTTTTACAGACCTTTAGTTATGGATCTGAAAAAAAAATTTAAAAGTTACAGAATTTAATGGAGAGTGAGGTGTTTTTTTTTTTTTAACTCGCCTGTAAAATCGATAGCAGGGATATAATTCACTATCAAAGTCTACAGAAAGCTTATAGTTTTCTATTAAATCTATAGGGGTTCTAGAATGGTTTGAAATAATAGTGAAAAAAACAATGTTTTGTGATACAAATCTGTAAGAACAAATGTGTGTTTGTTGCTGGGGTGCCACTTAGTTGAATTGTCCAAAAGAGGTTCTAACCACTTACAAAATTGATAATATTTTTGGCAAAAATGTGCCCAAATGTTCTCTGCAGTTTAAATTAGATGCACTTGACTTCACAGTTTATCCTTACGCCGATATGTAGTGTGTTTAGTTGCCGTGTTTCACTCCAGATACAGCTGCTGTTCACTGAAGGTGAAGGGATCCCTGTAAGCTTAAGATTAAATTCCTTACTCTTTAGTCAAGCCAGAGACTGCTTCAATTACACATCAGTCAGTTAAATTCTTTGAGGTGGAAGCTATATTAGGAATGTTTGATCATCACTAACTTCTACCTTTGGTGACATTAGGGGCTGTTCTGTAGCAGGACCTCAGTATCTGTATAGATCTAGCTGAAACAAAAGACAGGACTATGCAGCACTTTAAAGACTAACAAGGTAGTTTATTAGGTGATGAGCTTTCGTGGGCCAGACCCACTTATCACTTTGGTATATATGGTCATGCCAATTTTCTTCCACATATTGATCTGAGGAAGTGGGTCTGGCCCACAAAAGCTCATCACCTAATAAACCATCTTGTTAGTCTTTAAAGTGCTGCATAGTCCTGTCTTTTGTTTCAGCTAGATCTATACAGATACTGAGGTCCTGCTACAGAACAGCCCCTAATGTCACCAAAGGTAGAAGTTAGTGATGATCAAACATTCCTAATATAGCTTCCACCTCAAAGAATTTAACTGACTGATGTGTAATAACTGTAAGTGGGGGGGGGAGACTTTTTAAAAATACCAGTAAATGGTCCTGTAGCATCTTAGGTTATGTCTAGACTGCAGGAATTTGTCACTAGAGGCAATGCAAATGAAGCACTCATTATGCAAATGACAGTGAGAGAAATGCTAGTCTCTTCTGATCCTTTTTGCAGAAGAGGTTTTTGCGCAAAAAAAAAAGCAGTGTAGACAGGGCCATTTTGCGCAAAACAACCCTTTTGCGCAAGATCCTGTACACCTTATTTTTTGGAACTCCAGTCATCTGAAGAAGTGGGGTGTGTCCACAAAAGCTTGTGATACCATCTAAGTGTTTTGTTAATCTATAAAGTGCTACCAGCCTATTAGTCTGTACAGGATAAACTTAAACAACAAACTTGGCTACCCCCGAAGCATCTAGTTAAAGACTTTGTTTAAACCTCTATTCAAGGTGTCAAACTTTTAAATGAAACCAAATTCAGCAGCTTGTCTCCAGAAGACTTTTGAAATTGCTTTGAAATAGTGTCACTTTTAGATCCCATTAGTGAGTGCCTGGACAAGTTGAAGTATTCCCCAAGAGGTTTCTGTGTATTACCATTTCAAATATCTGATTTGTGTCCGTTAATTGGAGAAAGGAGAGGAAAAAATGACAGGCTACTTGCAAGGCGAGCCCATCAACCAGAAATTGCAGAGGTGGGTCAGTCCACCAGAGCAAAGGTCTTTGTTTCCTGGTCAGAGCTGTCTAGTTAACCCTATAAATGCCAAAAAACAGAGTTTCTGTTAAAGCAGGGGTCGGCAACCTTTTCAAAGCGAAGAGCTAAACTACATCAAAATTCAGAACAAGTGGTCAACAAAGAGCCATATAAGAATGCCCATTTGCATGACTGAAAATATACAACATACTATTATTAATTGACATGATGATTAATAATAGCATAAATGAAACCTTGTACTCACAGACTGTATTTAATGGGACTTCTGCTGCTGCATCTTTTCACTCATTTCTTCGAAGTTTACGTAATCACTGGTCAAATTCAGGTTCATACACACATTCGAGCTACATGAGTAATTATGTGTGTTTAAAATTTTAAATTAATTTTTCATTTTAATGTAAAAAGTTGCATGTATTTTGGGAGTGACAAAAGAGCCATATTTGGTTCCATACTGAGCCATATTTGGCTCAAGAGCCATAGGTTGCAGATCCCGATGTTAAAGAAACCAGCAGCTTCTGAGTAAAAAAAGTAATGATTCTGCTTATTGTTGAATCTTTTCTCTGGCTGTGAAGATGCAGGAGCTGGAGCAGAGAGTAATCGAGGCAGAGCAGAGGGCTGAGAATGCAGAAAAACAGGTAAGAAACACTGACCCTGTTATGAACCTCAGCAAGCCTGCACTCTTAACAGTTTCCAGACCACTGTACAGAAAGCACCCAGCTTTGTGGAGCTTCCCCAAGGATACACTTCATATGGAGCAATGAATTAATATTTTTGGTCCTACCCTACCACATTCCTGCCTGAGTTTCTACAGTGGCCATAAAGGAGTTAAGCCCATCACATGACACCTACATTTCAGTTCTGCAGCCAAAACATTTGAAGAGCCTGTAGAGAAGCTGCACCTTTACTTACAAACCTGTGACATGGATGCAAATAAGATGATGGAGTGACTGTGATGCAGTATGCTGCACTGAACTGCAAAATAGCAAGGAGCTATTGCAGATCAGGATTGAAGTGCAATGTTGGAGCACCATAGGGGCTATCGAACAGGGCAATGTCCAGGTATGCTGTAAAGAGATTGACTTATTTCCTGGCCCCGGTCATGACACTCTTCAGGGAATAACAGATGCAGCTGCAGGCCAGGAGTGAATTGGCACAGATATAAGAGGGAAGCCTGCATTGCACCAGGAGCACCATCCTCTCTCTGCCAGAAGCCCCAGATTCATGCCTGAATAGTAACAAAATAGTTTGAATTCCAGGCCCATTAGTTCCAACCCAATGTGATACCCAGTGCACTATGAGGTATAATCAGTGTCAGCTAGAAGCATCCCAACCCCTGCACTGTAACATTTTATGGAGTGTGAGGTTAATAACTATCTAGTCCCCATGCAGACTGGCTAGGTTGCTGGCACCAGGCTGCCAGAGATTCCTTTCCTCCCCACTGCTCCCTGCGAACAGCTCATTGGACACTAATGGAGCAAATGAGTGAAACAGGCAGAGAGATTGTCACTGTTACTTTCCAGCCAACTCTCTGTAGGAAACCAACAAATAGAGGTTGACCCCTCTAGCTGACTCTTCCCACTTTCTAGGAAAAACCAGCCAGTTCTGCGCTTCTGGTAGCGTGGAAGTTGTTGGTGATGTGAGCCACAGCACATGTTCCACCTGTGAGAGTGGCCTGCTGCCCAGGCTATATTGCCGTGCACAGGCAGAACCCAGGGGAATGACGCAGGCCCCTAAGCTTGCTGCCATTTCAATAGCACCACCCACATCAGTATACAATGAGAAGTGTCTTTTCAGTAGAAATGCTTTAATTACACCCGACAGCTTTAGGAAGTAGAGCTGCCCTTCTCACAAACAGGTATATTCAGGGTGATTAAGCAGCATTTGGCAAATGAAATGGGCTCCACATGGAGTTTAGAGTCTTTTGTTTTCTTTCACCCCATGAGACTGGCTGTTTGGATTGCTAATTCAATGGGCTACCACAGCTGCCATCCTCAATTAAAGAAATCACATGTCTACAGTCCCCACTCTGAGCCTCCAGCATGGAGTCAGCCCTAGGGCATCAGACAGGCAGGAGGGGCTCTCTTTTTATTATAATCACGCCGACCTCTAATGAAAACTCATCCAACTCAATGGGCTTAGCTTTTTGGCTGGAATGGTGGGTGCCTACTGTTCTGATTCAGTGCAAGGGAGAAGCAGTTTGCGTCTCTCTAATGCAGAACAGACAAGAGGATAAAACAGCTTCTGCAAGTCTGAGGTGAGGGCTGTCCAGTGGAATGTAAGCTGCTCTCTCTCACAGAATCTGCGAAACAGCCTGGCCGTTGCCTGCACGTTGCCATGCTGGCCCTAAGCCTTTGCCAAGACATAGTGGCATTTGGGAAGAGCTGGTCTGAAAATTATTTGCAGCTCAAGTCTTACTGACAAAACAATGCTACGAGGCATTTGTCCCTCATTAAGTGCTGAAATTAGCAGGCGGAGTTCAGTTTGAAAGAGCTCAGTTTGTCATTGGTAAGGCACTTTACCATCTAGCAAAACAAGTTAATTATAGAATCTTCCATACAAACTAGACTCAGCACTTCACAGGGTTAGATGATAACAGTAGAAATTAGACACTCCCTGATCCAGCACCCTTGGGACCTGACCCAGAGAAGAGAGGTTGTTGGACCTGGGGAGGGAAGTGCCAGCCTCCCACCCTGTGAGCTGCGACAGCCCTGCCACAGCTGCAGCAGCCCTGACACCCCACCATAGTTCCCAGTGGCCCTAGTGGCTGCAGGCTCTGCTGCCCTGGGAGCTCCACCCCTTCCCCCAGCTTCCCTGCCCCACTGGCTGCAGGCTCTGGTGCCCAGTGGGATCCACTGACCTGTTGGCTGCTGTTGGGGTTCTCTAGTCCCGCAACATTCATGGTCCTTTTGGCACAGAGGTTCAACCTGTAATATAAAAGAATCCCACCCCATCCCCCGTTCACATGAACTAGTGTTGGTACTGTTGATGACAGACATCTGTTCTCACCCTGCTGGATTTCTGCAGCATTAGACATTAATTATAAAAATCCAGAGTAGTGTGCTAGAACAGTTTGAACCCTTCCTGCAATGTCACTCCCAACAAGCAGTGATGTGGAAATTGCACTACTTACTGGTGGAGTTCCACAGGGATCAATTTACATTCTGGTCTTTTTCCACATCTATATGCACCCACTAGGTGAACTGGTCAGATGAGACACTCAAGTGCCAGCAATCTGCAGATGATACATAGTTCTACCCATCACTTGCCACATACAACCACACCACTACCACTAAGGTGGCCCCGTGCATGGAAGTGATCAGCTTTTGAATGTATAACAGTTGGCTAAAGCTAAATCCAAACAAGGTAAAGATGATGCTGGTGGGCACAAGAAAGTATTCTCAAGGACTTGCAGTCATGCTGCAGTCTCTGGTCATTGAAGACACGTGCCCAGAACAATCCATAGACTAGGCATATTCTGATTTGTCTCATAGCAGCATCTGTATTTTTCCATCTACGCTTAGTTAGGAAACTCCATCCCACGCTGGCAGACAAAGATCTGGCCTCAGTTATTCACTCATTCATCACCTCTTAACTAGATGAGCCCCCATTCAGGGTGTTACTCATGTAACTCATGCCATCACATTCACTTTTCATTAACACTACCACCACCCATGGTCATAAGTGTGAGGGTGTCTTCTAGGTCAGAGTCATGGAAGAGAAGGTGAAACTGGACAATATGAAAACCAGTGAATCGGAGAGTACCCTATACAGAAAATACCAGGAACTGTTGGGCACAGTGCAAGGAAAGGATGATCTGATCAGCAGGCTGGAGATGCAGCTGGAGCAACAGGTAAAGCCACCTTGCACTGGGAGTTCTGTAGCATGCATGGGCCTGTGGGACCGGAGGGAACACATGGTACACAGCTTGGCTTATCTCCCCAGTATCTGTGGATGTGGATTTACAGGTCAGCAGTCTCCTTCTGGCTGATGGGGTGTTCTGTGGGCTTTAGGACAATGGTTCTCTGATCAGAACAAGATTGCTTTTCTTCCAAGGAGAAATACAGGAATCCAAATAGACAAAACCAAAGTCACAGCTGCCACAGTTTGAGGTTAAGCTTATGGGATAGTGGGATATTAAAATGTTTTATTGGGATCACTGGTTAAATTCAGACTAGACTGGAAGAGTGGACACCTGTGATTGAAAACAGCCTTTGAAGCCTTGGTTGCCTATATGATTCAATTCTAAAGTGTGGAGATATTAGCAGTTCAGGGGTGTAGTAATATGATACCAAGTCTCCTACCATTATGTCTGTGACCTGAATCTAATCTAGGTCATTATCGTTTGATGGATGTTCAGTGGCCTATGTAAAATGCATTATATAGGATTTGCCAGGTTTTATCAAACCACTGGTCAGTCAAGTCTGAAATTTCATCTCCAGCAGAGGTTGCTGCCTACTGCTTCAGAGGAAAGCAAATGAGTAGAGTAATGCACAATGCAAATGTTACAATGCTATATTCTGGGGAGAAGTAGGGGGGAATTCTGTCTCCCCAACATAAAGCATGGGATTTGATCATATTTGTGGTTAAACATATTAAAATAAATGTAATTATTGGTCATAGAATTGTCCAGGACTATTTTGAACCCAGCAAGAGCAACTAGATGTTCTGCTGTGGTACTGAATTGCACAAACCAATTAAAACTGTGATGTACCAGATTTCCTTTATTTGTTGTATCTGTATGTGCCAGTGGTTGAGTGAACCCTTTATTTTCTTAATTTTTGAGAGTGCAAAAAGGAGGCAAGTGGTCATTTTTACTATACCTAATTCATAATGAACTAGACTCCACATTAGAAAAGCTACTAGCAAATATGGCACAAAACACACAAATATCACCTTTGTCAGCCTTAGTAGAGAGCCCAATGGCTGAATGAACTTTTCCCTCTTGCTCCTAGACTTAGTTTCTCCTTGTAAGATATCTAAGCTGTTTTTGGAGTGGGTAAGCTTGGACTGCCCCTCACCCTTGCTGTACTTAGGGTATGTCTACACTATAGAGTTTTGTTGGAAAAACAGCCATTTTTCCGACAAAACCTGAGTTATGTCCACACTGCAATCGCGTTCTTCTGAAAGTAAATTGAAAGAACAGAGGGGGTTTTCCGGTGTTGGTAATCCTCTTTCTATGAGGAAGAAGCCTTTTTCCGAAAGAGCTCTTTCGGGAAAAGGCGTGTGTGGACAGGGAAGAGGGAATTCTTTCGAAAGAAGAGGAAGGAGGAAAAAGCATAGGTGCCCTGGTGGCCACTCCATCCATAGTAATCACAGCTTAAATACGAGATAGCGTCCATTCAGTGTGGTCACTATCTTTTGAAAAAGCAGATCGCTTTTTTGATGTGCTTTTGCAGTGTGAACGCTTTCTTTTGGAAGATCTCTTCCAAAAAAAGATTCGTCCAAAAGAAGCCTGCAGTGTAGACATAGCCTCTCTCTAAAAATAAACAGAGGCCTTCACTCTCCAGTATCTTGCAGCAGCATGTTTCCTTAAGAAGGAAGAAAGAGAAAATGATGTGGCTGCAAAGCTGATGCTGTGCTATCATTACCCTGGCAGTTACTTGGGAACTATCCCTATTTGATACCTCAAATATTACTCTTAGGAGACCAGCTAGGCTTAGGAGACCGGCTGTACGTGCACAGCCATAGTACCAACTTACCCTCCACTTGTGGGGTGCTTGATACCTCCCTCTGTCCCTTCTCCCAAACGTCTAGCTCCACCCTGCTCTGTGCAAACCTTGTCTCTGTGTAACCCACGCACCTAGTGGGTGTGGTTCACTATCACATGTAGTGGCACTTATTCTTATCTCTTGCTGTAAGTGGTCTAAGGGAGCTCTACAGCCTAAGCTGACAGCCAGCTGGCTTTATAGATTGAGCTCCTACACTAAGTTCCAGAGGTCCGAGGTTCAAATCTGTACAGTGGCAATTACATCCGCGCCTCTCCCCCATCTCCCAAAGCTTCCTGAATGGTGTGAATCAGCTGTTCACAGTGTGGTGGGCTGGGGGACAGTAGGTCAGCGGGCCTGTCAGAGCACAAGAAGCACAGGGGGAAGATGGGCAAGGAGAGGAGCTTGGTGCTGATGGGTGCCTCAGTAACTCCACTGACCTACCCTTTCCCAGCTGCTTCAGCTCCAACATACCTGTGCAGTCACTGCCTATCCACACATCCTATTCCTGCAAAATCCTCCTTGAGTTTCTCCTCCTGGCAGGAAGGTGCCCTGCAGGCACCCAGCCTCATTTCCTCCTTCCCTCCTAGGGTCCCCTCCAAACACTCCAGGGCTTGGGCTAAGAACACTTGTGCCACAGGACAGTTTGTGATGACACACATCTCAAAGGCATAAACTGGAGCCTCTGGCTCAGCTGCCGTTTGTCAGTCTTCCTTCAAATAGAAGGTTGCTGAGCATATCCCCATCATCTTCTGATAAAGTTCAGAGATTCAGCCAGAGCAAGAACACAAATAACAACCCTACCTACCCTGGGTTTAACAGAAGTCTGGCATCCTTCATAGAGCTAGAAGAGACCTTAGAAGGCCATCACGTCCAGCCCCCTGCCCAAGGCAGGACCAATCCCAATCCTTCTTGGGTTCTTTCCTAGTTCTGGACAATGGCCACAGGATCAGTCCCTAGGGCTTTCCCTCCAGCCAGCATTCACAGAGATGGGCATGAAACATCCCCTCTATTACTCTGCAGCCCTGTATCTTCCTTCAGCATCAGTTCTCACCCTATTTCCTTGCCTTTATACAGGGCAGTGGCCCCAGAGTGCTTCCTTGGCCTTCCACTGGCTCCAGACTCTACCTGCCTGCTTTCTGCCTATATCTCTTCCTTCCTGTCTCTAAGGCCTCCTTCTACTTGACCCTAGATGCCAGCTGCCTCATCCCCTAATTGGAGTAACTAGAATGTACCTTTACAGTCACAGGAGGTACAATACCTTCTCCCTTAAACAGACTCAGTCACTTTGACAATATTCCACTTATAGACAGGCCAGTGATCCCTGTGGTGGCTAGGCTCAGGTTTTGCGCCTATTGTCCCTGATTATATTACTTGACTTTGGTTTCTTAATGAGTGCAACAGCTGTGTGTCATAGGGTTTTAGAGTAACTATACTCCCCACATTGCCAACTGTAACACCTGTCCTTTAAGCTCCAGATAGTGCTTTTGATGTTTTAGAGAGTTCTCTTCATTCTGAAGGAGTGCAAAACATTTTACAGGGTACCCACAGGAGTTGTTTAATTCTCCATTTAATGTAGCCACTAGTTCAGTGGAAAACTACAGCTACTTAACACTGCATAGCAACATTACATAATAATGTGGGATAAGAGGAGTAGAAGACTATGTACCAATGAAATTCTGGGAGGCAGAATGTAATAGCATAAGATGGAATTAGACCAAGATACAACAGGCCCCAAAAAAGATACCCTGAGATCATTACCCTACATTCTAAAAATGACTAACAAAATTACCAGACACCTTAAAGGGGCCTGATAGTCAAAGGCCAGGTGAGCAGTAATATCTAAATAAGCTTCATTCCTGGGACCACTTGACTGAATGGAAGCTGCAGGATACAAGTCACTCCTGCTAAAGTGATCCACTAAGAAAATCATGACTGCCTTCTCCTACTGCATTTAATCCTTTCTTTGCCACAGAAGCAGTTGAGGGCTGAGGAAGCTAAAATTATTCAAGACAAAGCTGCCAAGATCAAGGAGTGGGTAACTTTTAAACTAAGAGAGGTGAGTCTCCAGCCTGTTGTCAGCTTCTGAGATGTGCAGTTGGGAGTGGTGATTCTATATGTTGCCGGAATTTCTTATTGAGCACTTTGGATGGACAATAAAAGCAAGATATTCACTGCCCCAAAGGAGTTCATATTTGCCACAGCACACAGCTCATGAAGCAGGTGCAGTTCCTCTGTCTTAGTGACTTTGTATAATTTACTGATTTGGCAAAGTTTTCCTAACTCACTCACACCTAACTCCTGGTTCTGAATTGCCATGATCAGATTTCCACTCGCAAGAACCATAATTTGAGGTAAACTGTTTTCTCACTCAGAAAAAGCAAAAGACTACCACCACCTTCTCCTGTGAACCCCACTAAAGCAGCACCTAGGATATAGCCATTTTATTTCCTGCTCCTAAAGTTATAACTCTCTCTGACACTGTTTTCCTGCAACATGGTATTCCCTCGTGTCTGCTGTTCCCATCTTCCAAACACCTCTCTGTGCCTGGGCTTTTCCTTTATTCCAATGCCCACTGAAGTCCGTGGGGTTCTTTCTCCTGACTTCAGTGAGCACTGGAAGCAGCACCTAGGATATAGCCATTTTATTTCCTGCTCCTAAAGTTATAACTCTCTCTGACACTGTTTTCCTGCAACATGGTATTCCCTCGTGTCTGCTGTTCCCATCTTCCAAACACCTCTCTGTGCCTGGGCTTTTCCTTTATTCCAATGCCCACTGAAGTCCGTGGGGTTCTTTCTCCTGACTTCAGTGAGCACTGGATC